CAAAATTATTTGGACGGTGTCGAACAGCGTTCACTGAATTTCACTCATATTTAATCCCTGCCAGGGGGAACGCCGTTCCCCCATGTTTGATTTTGGCATGGGGGACGCCGTTCCCCTGGTAAAAAAGGTGGGGGGACGGCGTTCCCCCGCGTTCCCCCTGGAAAACATCACTGAATAAAACATTTATTGTATGGTTCTTATTTGCCTAATACAATAACAATAACAATAACAATAACAATAACATTAACAATAATCTTTACTAGCTAGCATTCCCATATATTATAGGTTCATAAGGCAAAATCATCTCGATATAAACATGCTACTACATTTTTACTCGTATTATAATTAAGACATTATTGACGAATAGATCAGTGACAGTGCACATTGCTATAAACATCTAGATTGAGCTCATTACTATAAAATATGCAGACAACAATACACACTGGATTGCTATAGGAATCTTATTTTAATAAGCCTGATTTCGTTGACGATATCGTTTCTATTTTGTTTCTTACACATTAAATGGAGATTGACAGACGACACATCGTTAGTTGTATTTTTGTAATATCATGATAGTGTTTCAATATCTAGCTCTATATCGAACACTAAAACAGCAGATCTATTGCCTTCATGTTGTATATCACCAGAAAGAAATAAAGCCATTCGTACCTGATTTATATTTATAATCGCATATTGTTTCAACAATCACAGACAACCCCCCTTGATACTGCATTAATTTCCGTAACTCCCTTGGATGTGGACATACAACTCGACGAAATATCGAGATTCAAGCCACAAGACTACTAAACTTGGGGCGCGGGGACTGGTAACGAAAACAACGAGCGTCGAGAATGGTGTGCTGCCTCGCTGGCGCTCGGCAGCAAATATAGCATTTGTAAATTCTGAACGCTGATTGGCTAAGAGCCGTGTTGATATAACTCAATGTCAACACGGGAAATTTTCCGCCGCTTGTAAACACGGAAATTTTGCTTATCCTTCGGGCTTTTGACATTGTTATATGATAAAAAACAATATAAAACTTTTTTCCGTATTGATATATAGTTATATCAACACTCGTGCAAGTTGGGAAAACTCGAAATTGTATGAAAACAATTTCTCGTTTTCCCAATTCCACTCGTGTTGATATAACTGTAGGCTATATCAACACCGAAAATGTTTTATATTTGTTAATTATATTTATCAAGGATGGATCATGGGCATAGAAGCAATGTAGTTGTAGCGAATTACAATTTTCGATTAGCGAGTAGTTTTTCACCACGTCAATTGCTTATTTTTGAAAAAACCGTTATTCGCTACTAATTTTCAAATTCCTCATCACCAACTATAGATGTAAAATTAGAATATAATAAGTATCATGACAAATGTCACTGCAAATTAAACAAAGACGCAGAAAAGATCGCCGAAATAACTTTGTCACTATAAATTCACGGTAGTTACAACTGATCCAACTGCGATTCTAATACAAATTCTATTTCAGTACCAAATAAATTGTTCTTCACATATTTTATGCCCCAAATCCCGATATTTAGCCTGCGAACAGGCCCTTCTGGGCTTGGTTATGGTTAATTTAAATTTGT